ACACACACACACACACACACAGTGTTTGCCGTTTAAAGGATCCAGGCTAACTGTGTCCTAGGACCAACTAGCCTCTACAAAACCACAACTGCCTAAATAACCTTTGTCTCTCTTGGTTGTATCACCAGGGGGCGGCCAGTGACCTTCACCCTAACTGAACGATCCAAAACTGCCACCTCTCTTTGACACAAGAAGGTTCAGACAGAAACAAACAATGACCTCTAAAACATTGTTTTTGTCATTGCTACAACAAAAGTGGTGCATTACACAGATGATACTTCAATGAGGTCATAAATTGTATTAGGCAATTGTATTAGGTCATATGGTGAGACAGTAATATCCATGTTGCACTGTACAATAAATCAATTGCTAAAATGTATTTCTGTTGAAATTACACAGTAAACAATGTTCAGCATAAGTAACATTAGTATAAATCCACCTTTAATAACCAGGAACGCACCAATATTGAAATTCTGGCCGATACAGAAAAATATTTTCATGCTATGGATGATAATAAAAATAAATTAAATGAAAAAATAAAACACTAAACATCAATTAATGCTAAAAATGTAAAGTATAGGCCTATTTAAATGCATAAGAATGCCTTTTAAATTAAGAAAAAATTATTTATACAAAATATTAATTTAACAATGTAAATAAATTATGTTAATTAATTTACTGTGATATGGTAATATGCATGTCACACTTTATAATAAATTACTATAATTAATATACTGTCAATCAATTACTAAAATGTAATTCTGATTAAATAATATTAAAAACAACTATAGAGTAAACAACACTGACATTAATTTAAAAAGTTCATCTTCAATAACTAGAGACACACAGTACAGATCATTATTTTTATTTCATAGATTAAAAATAATATCAATAAAAAACAAAAAAATCTATTAACGCTAAAATCGTAAATGCTATAGGACTAAGTGAATTTCCTCATTTTAAATGAGAAAGAACATTTATGTTTTAATACATTTTACTTGTTAGTGTTTTTTAAAGGGGTCCTATTATGCTCTTTTACAAAGTCTTGATTTTGTTTTGGGGGTGTACTAGATCCAAACGAGTCGTTCGTTGTAGTTTTTGAAAAAGTGATTTCTGTTCAATAAAATATCTCCTTTTGAAGTGGACTTTGAACTTTGCAACTTTGCAGATTTTTTTATGCTCAAACAGCAACATTACAGACTAACTAAAGTTGAAAAAGTGAAAAAGCATAATAGGACCCCTTTAAAGACTAACTTGCTAAGCAAGTGTTGGATAACAGCAAAGGAAATCAATGTGTAAAAACAGAGGAAATAAAAATGACTAAAAGTGTAATGTAACTGATATGTAGACTGATAGAAAAAATTCTCTGATAACATACTGATACGCATCTATACAAATGTTTCCTCGCAAACTTAAAATTGGATGAAAAAATATATATATACATTATTATTCTTTAGAATATATTAACTGTCTACTGACCTCCATATTTATAACAAACTTGAATGTACCTCTATGATACAAAGTGAGTATGCTAAAGAACCAATCCTATGACTATCAATTCTTAAGAGGAAATTACTTCTTCATACATTTTCAAATGCCGAACTATCTATTGGAATAGGAAAAAAGTGGAAGATCAAAAGAAAATAGCAACGGATGTTCTTAGTGTGTTTAAATGTTCTCATCTGGCTAGAAATGAGAACAAATGCTCAACTTTCAAAACAGAAGCATACTTTTGAAATATAAATAGACATTTGAAATAACTAGAAATAGGCCTATTTCTTTATTATTGTTAAATATATACACATGCAACCGCAGCCTCTGCGACTGAAAAATCGAACTTTTTCATATCGCGATATTATCGCAAATGCAATTAATCGTTCAGCCCTACTTGTCACATTGCTCATGTAAAATGTTTGCACTATTTAGGTTACAAAAGTTCACTGCTGGAGATTAGCTGCTGGCAAATCAGAATTTCTCAGATTTTTTATGGTACAAACCCATCTTATTTTTTATCACAAACTACAAAAGGCTTGCATACAGATGGATTTCCCAATATTCTCATGGGTCAAAGACCACACATTTCTACAAAGAATCTTTGTGAACCAAAGTAAACTAACCAAGCGCTCAGTCAGCGTGTTTATCGAGTGAAAATCTGTGTTGAACGCCTCTCACACACATACTGGCGTGTAAAATCTAAGAATTTATTAGCCAATGGCTAATGTTAGTCATTATTTAGTCGCCCAGAGTAAGATTTAGTCGCATATGCGAGTGATTTACTCGCAATGTAGAGGGTTGCAGACCTGAACTTTCTCTCTCCGTTCTGCATACGTATATCTAGGACCACATCCTTTATTCTTTCAGCTGGCAATAAGGAACAATGAAAGGCCCCGAGCAGATCTTTGTCCCAGATTATTTTGCAAATGTGGTAAAATCATCTCAACAGGAAAAGAAAAACAATGCACTGGCCCTGACATCAGTGAAGAGTTTCCTCTCACTCTCATCCAAACCTGACAGCAGCAAGTAAACAACTTATCTACACATACAAATGTATGGTTAATATATGAATGTACAAGACTACAGATCTTTTCATAATGTTCTTCTGCACATCTGAGAACTCGGTTAAAATGGCTGATTGAGGCTTTTATGGCGAATCCTCTCACTGATCCCTAGACAAGGCAGGGGTCTATGGTAAAAACCTGAAACCCAGACAGTCAGTGATGTACTGGCCATTGCAATACAGAGAACATGGAAACCATCTCCATAACACTGTGGTGAAATAAAAGGTTATTTGAAAGGCCAAAGTGGCCAACAGCTGCTTTTAAATGAGGTCTAAAGCGGCGTCAAGATACTTTACTTAGCCTTGTGCCGTTTTACAAAACCTTTCTTTTGTGGAAGATAAATATATAGTTCAGTCATGAAACTCTAGATGGTGCAGGCTGACGGGTTGTTAACGTAACTGATGATATTCAGAGAGTTAAATGACTTGGCATACTGATTGGTTCATGATGCATATGCAGCCAATGAGCTTACTGCCTTGCATTTATATGGCTGGCTAGCATTCACTTGAGATTCCTGCAGTGCGCTTTCAGAGTTTCTCTGAAACCCTCCCGTATCGCCATATGCATTGTCAGTTGCAAGTTCCTGTACATGCTTGCAGCAGCAGCAATAATCTACAACTACAGCAATAACCAACAGCAGCAGCAATTCAGCAGCAGCGTAGCAGATCTATTCTGCCAAGACCAAATACATTAACATTGTCATATCCATCACCATGCTAAAATCTTCCGAGAGTTGTCATGCTCCGGGACAAGGCATCACAGTATGGTAAGGGGCGTAACATTTCTGTTACATGCTTGAGGTATTCAGCCAATCACAATGCACTGGATAGCTGGCCAATCACAGCACACCTCGCTTTTCAGAACGATGAGCTTTGTAAAAATCGACGCGTTTCAGAAAGGTGGGGCATAGAGGAGAAACAGTAATGTACAGTATGTGGGAAATAATGTGTTTTTTGAACCTTAAACCGCATATTAAACACATTTCATTACACCAAATACACAAAATAATGTTCTTTTTAGCAACATCATATGACCCCTTTAACATTGTCATATCCATCACCATGCTAAAATCTTCCGAGAGTTGTCATGATTGAAATGAAGATAATTTGGTAAATATCTCAGTGTTTTTTTTCTATCCATACAGTGGAAGTCAATGATCACCAAAATGGTTTGGTTACCAACAATCTTCAAAACATCCTTCCACAAAACAAAAGAAGGTCATACAGGTTTGGAACAACACAAGGGTGAGTAAATGATAGATTTTTCATTTTTGGGTGCACTATCCCTTTAAGAGCATCTACACTTACTACACACGTTTACTGTGAATATAAGCTTAAAACCACACAGACAGACGTCAATCTAGATCATTCATGAGTCAGGCATCCTAAAGCATATCCTGATGTATTGCAGCAAAGTTTAGGCAAATACTCACATGTCATTCAAACGTATGTATATTCTCTCCTGTCTAAAACGTGCTGTCAACACACTTTGAATAAAATGTCATCCTTAACTAGAAATGTCATTAATGCATAACTGTAACACTACACTACAGTGTTACAGTTACCGTAGCCGACGTATTGCATAGCACAACATAGTTCAAACGTAATTCAAACCTGTTGGCAAACATATGAGACATTTTAAAACCTATGTTTACATATTAGTAAGGAAATAACAGTGTTTATACGATGTGCTACATTGTACCAGCATTACTGTACAGTAAGCGCTCGGGCTTTAATCTTCTGACACTTCTGGAACTAACTAACCTGGAGCGCGGATGTCATTTACAAGCGACAACTCGCCCCCCAAATAAAGCGGTTATGTTTATTAAATGAGAATATACCTATTGGACCCTCTTTGTGTTTTGACGAGCGTCTTCTGTTTACTGCTTTTTCAAGAACACCCCTCCCAGACTTCTTTGCAGACGCCATCTTCCTCAAACACGAATGATTACCTCCCCCTCTGTTCTGTCTGGACTTACCTTACAGGCGGTCACGCCCACATCAAAATCTACAGCCAATAACGTGTCAGAGAATAATCAAAGCACCTATCACTTCATAGTACTGCCCATCACGCTGCCCACATTGAGCCAAATGACACTCCTACAACGTCAAAATGCAATACAATAAAATAAATATGCCAGTTTCTCTAATGTATTTTCTTTAATTGCCAATTTAAGTATCCAGTGCATTTATTTATTTATTTATTTATTTGGAATGTTCCTCAGGACACACTTAAAAGGCCACATTCATCAAAATGCTAAATGTTTTATACAATTCATTCAAACCATTAGCAGATATATTTGATTTACCACTGCAAAATACAAACAAGCTTATCTTCAAACTAATAAAGAGATGCAAAGACATATTGACAGCAGGCTCATGAAATTACGACAAGTAATACACAGAGTTCACTTTTCCCTTGACTGTCTTTCTGGTTCCTTTTCCTGTTTCTCCAGCTCCAGCTATGGCTTCTCCAGTTGAATGTCTTCTCCACAGTTGGCCACATCCTGATAGGGGCCTTGCTGATTGGTGCGTTGAATTTGATGGTAAGCTGAGTTGCAGTCATCCTGGTTTAGACCCTGCTGAAGGTCACTTTTGTGAATACGCAGCATGCTAATAAGAAAAGAAAATGTAGTGGGAATAGACATACCTCATAGATATTCTCCTCCTCCCTTCCTTTCTTCCTCTCCAGTTCATTCAGCCTCTTTGACTAGAGGAATAAAGTTGAACGTCTATCATCATCATGGAATCACTTTATTTATTTGTTTGTTTAATGTTGTTTGTGGTGCAGATTTCTGTCTGGAATGCATCCAATATGCAGAATCAACATTAAATCAACATTACACGATCATTGTGTCTGACCTTACAGAGGGGCATGGTGCCAGGGATCAACACACACATCAGCAGCAACACCCCTTCTGCTGTAATGATGCTGTTCTTCACACTCTCGCTGAGGTTCAAGGTCTTCTGCAATGGTTCTAATTAAAGAGACCTGAAGACTTTTCAGAAATGACAAGTAGATCAAACTGACCATGGACCATTGTCTTAAAAAGGTTAGAGAAAAATGAAACAAACAGACAAAAATAGAGGCCAAAAGAGCTGAAACTTTCACTTCCTCTGATAGTAAAACCTGCATGTGTGTATATAAAGAGAGTTAAGAAACACAAACTTAGCATGAATGAGAGGAATTTGGGTTTATGTCATTGAATGGGTTATTTGTGTTTGCCTAACTCAGCCAATTGAATGATTTGTGGGGATTATTGCACAATGCGACCTCTTAGAGAGCATGAGTGTAAACATTGTTATGTTTATGACTTTCATATTTATGCAATTAAGAATAAATAGGTAGACAGTGGGCCTATACATCAGATTATGTATTACATTAAAATGCATAACTGTAAGTGTATATACCGTATTTATTATAGATTTATTATAGACTACTGTTCAAAAGTTTGAGGCCAGTAAGATTGTTTTTGAAAGATAATACTTTTTTTTTTAGCAAGGAGGCAGTAAATTAATCAACAGTGACAGTAAAGACTTTGTTACAAAAGTAATTCTATTTCAAATACTGTTCATTTGAACTTTCTATCAATCAAAGAATCCAGGGAAAAAGTTCACTGTTTCCATAACAAGTAATGTTTCTTGAGCACCAAACGAAGGTTCAGTAGAGCAATGGCTGATGAAATTAAATTGAGTAAATTGTAATATTTCACAAAATTACTCTTTTTACTGTATTTTTTGATCAAATAAGTGCAGACTTGGTGAGCGAGTGGTCTTGGTCTTTTTTTTTTTACAGTGATACTGACGAGAAATAAAATTAAGCATATTAAACATATAACTGTGGTCTGACTCACTGTATACTTGAAGAAAGGTACCATGGGTAAAGATGTGAAGAGAGTTATAATTCAGTTTACACTGGTACAAGCCGGTATAATTGAGACGGACCCTCTTGAAAAACAGCAAATGGCATGTGACTCCATCTGTTAGTTCTGTTGTCTTGTTCATCAGATTGTTGGACAGATTTACTAAGCTGAGCATTGTGGTTCCATTGGTGGTGTGAATATTCATGATCCAGGTGACATGGGGACTCTTATTCCAGCGGTAGCAGCAGCGGATGGTGGCTTCATGGAAGAGAGCCGCACGCACCAACGGCTTATCTGCCTCCAGTTTCAGGTCTTCAAAACCAGCGTTAGCAACAACTTAAGGACAATAAAACCAAAAACCATATAATAATATGCTCTAACATTGGGTGACACAACAGCACAAAAAAGTATTTGAGTGTAAAACAGTCCACAGTGGGGGGTTTCTTTAAGATTTGCTTATATGTGATTAAAACCCTCTAACATAAAAGCAGCTTAACATATATCTTTAATTTCCCCCCAAGGGGCATTAACTTCAATCCACATGATATCAGCATGTTTAAATCTATTAGCTAAACTGAACACTTCCCACCCACAAAAAGCTGTATAGACAAGACTTGTCATGTGAAAAGCTACTTAATACAGTGTAAAATTAAATTAGACCCTTAAAATTGTAAGTCACACTGAAAAAGACAAAGATGTAAAAACTGGTGAAATATCTAGACTGGTAGCAATAAGATGCCAATTGTAACAGCTGCTCTGAGAGGAAATCAGCTTCACTGAAGCAGAACATAGACGTGCAGATGGAAACTTTGTGTACTTTGTTCTTTTGTAGGAGATAAAAAGTTTATTGCTGAATTTGAAATGGTATGCTGTCGAAAAACTAAATTTAAATTTCTCTATACATATAGGCCTACATATATTTTTTGGTGATCAAAGAGAGCTTAGATTACTATAAAACCAGTTAATTATAACAAATGCTTAACAAATATTAGAATTTTACAATAAAACTAACATTACATACACACATGAAATATATGTTAATGCTTACCTGCCCAGAAACACAAGAAAATGACCAGATAAACCAGATAACCTTTCAAAAACCCTCTTGCTGCTCATCAGTAAATATGCCGTTCAAGTGTTTGTCTTCTCTTCCTGTATCATCTACACTCACCCATTCTTCTATTTCAGTTTTTGGTGAACAGAATAATGTGAACATTCAGGTGTTTTACCACCATATATGCCTTTAAAACAGCTTTGAATCTTCTTAGAAAAGAACTTTTGAATAGTCTCTAGTTTAATGTTGACTACAAAAACATCTGCCAGTTGCTTTACAGATGTTGGAGGAGGGAATCTGCTTCTCACCATTATCTCCAAAACTGCCTACTGTAGTCAGTTTTTGTGGAAACATGGTCTTCAAGGCGAATTTGGAAGCTTGCTGACACTCTGCTGCAGAAGTTCTGCATTGTTTGGCCCCTATCATTCACTTTCAGTTTTCATCCACTATTCTTCTCTGATTAGTCTTGCCAGGCTTTGTGTACGCAGTCATAATCATAAAGACTGTTGTTCGTAAAACACCAAACAAACTGGGCCGTTAAGGTTACAGACACTCCGGCTAAACAGACTCCCATACATTTTCATTAATTTTTGGAAGTCATAACAAGTCACCCATTTTCCCCACAATTTGTACTAAACAACTTATACTATACACAAACTAGAGAATATAGACATCATAATTGGATAAAGATTATTGGAAGATAATTGGATTTTTTTTACTGTACCCAGTATAAATTATATTAACCCCATAATAATGGATGTTCACATTATTTAGTCCAACCTCTGTACATTCTTCTCTTTTTTTTTGGATAATGTGGTAATCTGTTAATATCAACCGAATGCTGTTAAAAATAAAAACAATACAAGCTCAAGTCATTTTTGATCATTTATTAAAAAAACAAAAAACGTACCTACATTTTTCTTATGTATCTTACATATAAAATCAAAGCCCAAATACACAGAATAGTCCTTGCATAATCATTTATATAGACAGACAGCAATGGAATGCCTGTAATGAGTGGACTCCTGTACACAGATTACATAAAAGACAGTCATGGATTGCAGAAGGTTTAAAAGATCTAAAAAAGAGTACTCAGTACTAAGCACTCGGCAATTTTTAAGAACAACAAATGAGTGGAACTGCTATAAATTGGCGGGTCTGGAGCAAAATATCAGATTAATATTTAACACTGAGCATCGCTAAATGAGGAGAAGGCAAGTATGCCCGTGCCCGTCAGTTGGACTAAAAGAGCCCTTTAGAAATTAAAACAAACCCAATCTGCACAAGGCACCCTATAAATAGATTTAAACATACAGATATATCACTATGTATACATATATGTGACAGATACATATGAAAAGTTCAAGGAATGAGAGAGAATGACACCACACCCAAAACCCTGTCTTATCAATTATCAAAAGTTGAAGGCTCAATTTGAAACACACTTTCTAACCGAATCTAAACTGTGGTTAGTTCCACATCAAAAATAAGACTCTTGCCATAAAAGCGAAATTCAGTGAAGCCTTTTATAGTTGTTCTGGTTAAGGGTGTACTTTGTCTCTCTCAGTCCTTCTTATATAACAAGCAATGCATAGTATGGTAATTACATAATTTTCTAAGAAAACCAAAAGAACAGAATCAAAGAAAATGAATAAACCACCCATTCAAGCAATCGAGAATGAAAAAAAATGTGCAAAAGGACTGAAGGAAAGTGAAGTAGGTAGAACAGATCTTGCACCATGATAGTTTCATTACCAAACTTTAAACAGTTTCATTTGCTACTTCTAAAAGGAAAAGGCTATGAAAATGAACAAAAGGTCTTATTGACATTTACTAGGACCAACACTGCTGCCCAGAATGCAAGACTTCTAGCAAATTGTTCTGGTAAACCATTTTGCGAAGGAAATCAGCTGGGAAAACAGCAGGAAAAGGAACCAAGGCCTTACAGAAATCAATATTATCAACACAATTACAACGTAAAAATGAATATAAATCACATTATGTAACAAATAAGGTAAAATAAGTTGCATAAATTTGGAAGTCGGTCGAGGGTAGAAAGACCTGTTGCAGTAGCATCATGAATACATGGAAATAATTACAGTTATTAAAAACTACAGTTTGTGTTCCTGTCTCTGAACTCTGAGATATAACATCATTTTAAACCCCTGCAAGTGCCTGATTGTCTGTGGTCTGGTTTCATAATTAGATAAGGAGAGCAGGAGAGAAAAAGCTGGGCCGTTAAGCTGGAAAAAACATGGACTGATAATGAGAATAAATATACTTCTCGATTACTCCTACTGCAATTCAATTCTGAACCAACTTAATTCCTTCTGTCTTAAATAGGATTATAAGCCAATCCATCCACTTCACCTTTTTGTGGGTTGATCCAGCAGCTAAGGCGAACGCTCGGAGTTTGGAAAGGGGTGGGCAACTAGTTTGGACCCCCTCAGTAAGTTATTCCAATTGACAACTGACCTTCCCATGCAAGGCAAATGTGTTTTCATATCTAAACTTTGTACCAATATCATTTCTTTGGTCCTGCTTACAAAGAAAACTACTCCATAAAATAAAATAAACTGAGAAACAATGACAAGCAATTACAGGAAAAACTATAATTTTGCAAACTGAACTGTAGAACATAAAGGTAGAAAAAAACGTAATTATCTGAAATGACCGATGCGTTTTACAGCCACTGAAACAGAATTTGCATAGTGCACAAAAATAGGCAATGTGTGATGATTATCATACGATCTGGGTCGACCTACCAGAGTACAATCTGCAACACCCGAGTTAGAGAACGCTATACACTGTGCATGCTTCACGTTTAAACAGCACCGACGTGTGGATGTTCCTGCAAGCTGGTCATTCAAAATGCGACGTAATACGTGCATATTTCCTCACACCCACAATGTCAAACCCTGACGACATTTCTTGACATCAATGCTTGCCTTGATTTCACTTCAGAGGGGTTAGGCATAACAAAGCAAGCCCACCTTCCTCAAACCTTCTCTCTACTTCCTCTGCTCATCCATCTGTTGATCTATCCTACTTAGCACTTCTTTTCTCACTCACAGAGCAACAATAGAACTTCTGGTAAGAAGACAAATCAAAACCAAAACAGGGTTAAAAAAAAAAAAGTCCATGTTTTACTCTCCATTTTACTGCAATGCATGCTACAACGGCTCAATACTCTGCTAAAAATCGACATATCTCCTTTTGAATATCTATTATTTTTGAAAATACATGTAATATAGTACGGTAATAATTATTAGGATGAGTGAACATCTTGAAATGCGTAATAAAAAAATGAAAGGGCACATATTCTGCTTAAATGACCTGACTAAAGTACATTCTGAGAAACAGACAAAGATGCAACTATACTTTTCTATGAATATAGATAGTCTTTTGGTACTAAATTACTTTTGACATGCTTAGACAAGTTTATCGTTGTGTGTGTGTGTGTGCACATGTTTGTGTATGTTACAGTGCTTTCACATGCACTCGTAGCATTTCGCTCTGGAATCTCTCTAGGTGTTGCACATTTCTTTGGCATCTTTTGGCAAGACTGTCTCTCATACTTCTCAACAGAAACACATACGCACTCATTCAAGGTTAAGGATCACTATAATTTCACAACACCCACTTCATTTCATTTCTCAGTGGCATGGAAAGTGCTGGAGGCCTGCTGACAATCTTCAGAAAGGACAGTTGAGAAGAGAGAAGAGATAGAGCAGGAACATTCAGGCAGAATTAGTCAATCAGCGAATCCCTCGAAAACAAGTCTCGAGTCCAGCACATGCAGTGATCTGAGGACAAACAAGACAGATGATAGAAACTGAATTGCTATACTTACAAAAAGAATGGTGCTATATAAAAATGAAGATGATACATATAAAAAAATGGTTTTGTATTAAGTATGTGGTAGTACCTTGTAACAGCAGGTTGTGATGTTTCTCAGTTGTAGTGGCCCCCCTGAAGTGAATATTTAGCAAGAGCTTCTTGCAACTTATAATGGTCCTCCTCGACAGCCTTGGAACAAACACAACACCAGAGATGCGTATTACTTGGGGCACCTCGTTCAGATGAAGCCCCCTAATTTTTCTCCTCTTCAAGAACTGAAGAACGGACCCTGTTCTCTTTCACAAATGCAATTGCTTTCACCTCACCTGCAGTCTCTTCAATTGCTCCCCAAGTGTCTGCAGTCTCTTCTGCACCTCCTCCAAGCGTTCCTGAGAAAGCACTAGAGGAGCGCTGATCTCTCTTTCCTCTTCTCCTTTATTCCCTCCATCTCCCCCACTCTCTTCTCCTTCAGTTCTACCTTCTGTGCTGGATTCCTCCACTGAGGAGGAAAAAAAGCATTGGGGATCTCAATATCAATATCAAAATGTATGACCGTCTTCCATCTTTTCTTTTAGAATTTGAATAAATGACAGGCTGTTTGTAAGACTTTTAAGTACATTTCTTCTTTTTGCATGCTGAACTTATTCAGGAACTCAGGTATTCAGCACAGCTGTACTTACTGTACTATGATTAAGTGTGAGGTTGAACCTCGTCAGCTATAAACCTGAAGCAATATGTGTGCAGTTCCTGACGACTGACCTCCATCTGCCTCCTGGCTTTCAGGGGCCATCCCTCCATTTTCCCCAAGAGTCTGAGAGTCATCTGACAGACTAATACTCCCGACCAATAGCCTCTTCAAATACATGACTGTGAGAGGTATACAAGCAAAAAAAAAAAAACAAGTACAGCATGAAATTGTATGTGTTCACTGCTTGACCTGCATAAAATGACACATTCTGACCTTCATCCAAAGCACCAATAGCAGACTTCTCTGGAGGAGCGTGGCTATGGCTGAGCAGGTCAAAACCATTGGCCGCTAGGTAGTCTATGAGTGAAGAATCAGTTTCTCTACTCTTCTCATCAGTAAGACTGTCTTTAAATCGCCCTATGGTGAAATAAAACACAGTCACATTATAATACCACGGTAAAATTACTTGGACAGACTTAATATCTGTTTCCAAGAGCCAAAAGTCTCACCACCGCGACTTTTCAACAGGTCTCCTCCGTTCTCAGTGGGGCTAAGTGGGGGCTGCAAACTGGAGAAAAGAAATGGAAAGAGTTTTAATGACTGAAGTTAGCTTCGAGTTTGCTAGTTCAATGCCACCTTCAAAAGGATGCCCGATTACTCTTATGGGGCCTTGCTATTTGCCAAAAACACACTCACGGGCCGTATGCAGGTCCACTGGCGCTGCTAGGCATGCTGCCACCTCTGTCTCTTTTCAGCTTATTCCCGCCCCTTTTCTTCAACTCGTCAACTGTAGATTTAATCACCTCTGTCCAACTGGAGCATAAAACAGACTGTGAGTGTCAAATTACATGTTTTGGATTTCAATTTTGAAGCAGGATTTCATATGATCTGCCGGTCAGTCATTCGGGTAAGTGTTTCATTGAAATGGCTTTATATGGTTCACACACTCACTTTTTCTTCTCCCCGACGGTCTGAGCCACTAGTTCATAGATCTGTGCTCCGCTGTCCCAGGTGAAGATGACGTAGAGGGCCTTTGGGTCTGATGGAAAGAACAAAAGTAACTGTAGATCAGACTCACGTTCTTCAGAATACAACATGCTAATTCACCTAAACTCACTCACCAGTGGCCACGTCTCTGAGAAAAACAGATTCTAGTTTGATGATTGGACTCAGCATCTGTTTGCCTTCCTGAACGGCGATGTTGCTTTTGCTCTGACACTTCAAAACCATCTTATCATCCTGCTTCTGAAGCAAGACCAGCAGGTCTGACAGCAAAACACAGTGCACATCTACAAATACACACAAAAATAGGGTAAGTAAGAGGCTGAATTCTTGATTATGGAAGCACTGAAAGCAAATAAACTCATTTGTCATTGTATTTGTAATTTGGGGAATGTGTCGACGGGGGTTACCGATCGCTTTCTCCTTGGTCACCCTCCATGTCAGAGGTCCTTCAAACAGCATCTTTCTGGTGGTCAGATCAATGTTCTGATGAACAAAGAAAAGAGTGGATCATTTCAGCCCCAGAGTGTCTGCATTAGTAACATACACATGAGGCATTAAGATATTTCTCACCTTGTACTCACTGTAGAGGTCATTGCTCGGTTTCAGTCCTGAGGTGTCCAGCCGGCGCTGGTAGTCTTTCAAAATCTGAGTTGAAGATGGGCAGATATTTAGGGGAAAAAAAATGAGAGTGGTGGTTGGGAAAATGCATATTAGAGATTATGATCCATATAGGGTGGGCTATATCACAGTATGAACAATTTAAAGGTAAAGTTCACCCAAAAATGAAAATTCTCACCCTTTTACCATTCCAAACCTGTAAGACCTTTGTTCATCTTCAGAAAACATATTAAGATATTTCTGATGAAATCCAAGAACTTTCTGACCCTCCATAGACAAAGACACAACTACCACTTTCAAGGTCCAAAAAGGTAGTAAGGAAATCGATAAAATAGTCCATGTGACATCAGTGGTTCAACCGTAATTGTATGAAGCTATGAGAATACTTTTTGTTCACAATGAAAACAAAAATTGTTGAATAAAGTCATTATTTTTGCTTACTTTGCGCACAAAAAATATTCTCATAGCTTTAAAAAAATATCTTAATTTGTGTTCCGAAGATGAACGAAGGTCTTACGGGTTTGGAATGACATGAGGGTGAGGAATTAATGACTGAATTTTTATTTTTAGGTGAACTATCTCTTTAATACAGTATCATGCTAAATACATACATCACAACATGCTGGAATGTAGTAATGCCTGGATACTGCCATACCACACATCCTTACAGTAGACCATATTAATCTGAAGGAACTTCTACTGAATTCTCACCAGCAGGTTCTCCATGAGTTTGACTTCTTCATTGACATGGTTGAGGATCTTACGGCAGGATTCTGCTGCTTGGTTAATGTTCTCTTTTTCTGCTTTATCATCTGTGAGAAATGGACATTGTTTATACACCAGTTTTTGTCTAATATATTGCATTTCTTTTGTTTGCTTATTTATTAATGCTTATTTATTCCTGTGATGGCAAAACATTTCAGCAGCCTTTACTCCAGTGTTTAGTGTTACATGATCCATCAGAAATCATTCAAATATGCTGATTTGATTCAAGTAAAGCTTTTTATCATCAACAGAATTGTGGAACCCGAGATACATTTTTTTAGGATTCCTTGATGAATTGAGTTCAAAATAACAGCAAATCTTTTGTAACAATGTAAAGGTCTTTACTCTTTACTGTCAATTCTGATCAATTCAATCATGCTAAATGATTATCGTAGTGAAATAAAAGTATATAAAAAAACATCTTACTGACCCCAAGCTTTTGAACTCAAGTGAATTTGATTTAATTGAGAAAATCAATGTGTTAAACTGATCATTTTATATTTGTAATATTTTTAATGTGTTATTTACTTTGCAATTTGCAATGGTTTAGCAAGTGTTTTGCACAATTTGCACAAAAGGTTTTATGGAAATAAAGTAGGATTAGATTTAAAACACTTACCTGTGTTCTTGGCAATGTTTTCCAGCAGAAGAGGATATTTGGTTAGTCTTTGCATCTCGGTGGGAATGATATCCTTTAGCTGTAGCCTCCGACATTGTGGCTTACTCTCTGCCTCCTACAACACAAACACAGAACATTTAATTAAAGACATTTTGAGATGCCTAGCCTCCAGAAATGTTGACTGGCGAACAGTTGCAATACCATGGAAAACAGTGTTTTAAGTGTAAATGTACCAGTATGAAAGCATTAAAACGGGGATCCTTCTTCTGTCTGCTCTTTATCTGCTCCAGAGCCCAGGACTGGTAGCTACAGAAGCGTGCGGTGAGCTTCTGAAACCATTCTCCTTCTGATCCACTGAACTACAGAGATAGAGACACGTCTATTCGTGTAACAGCTAATATAAGTTCATTTTGTCAAGTTGAAATGCTGAATGACACAGTGTTGAGAAAGAACATGAAAAACTAGCATTTAGCACACTCTAAGCTACTTACCCTGTTGAGAAGTGGCGTGCTTATGAATTTGACAATGTACTTATCCTCCTGACGCATTTTTTTCAGGTTCTCATAGAAAGCATCTAGAAAAAGAATGGATTTAAGCTATTTCAAGGCTGTTTATAATTGAAGGACCATCAAAATCTTTTAAAGCCATGCAGATTTCAGTGCATTAATATATTTGAAGTGGATACGTACAGTGCATCTCTATGATCTCATCAAGGCTGGGGAAGATGGTGGCCAGCTCAGTCATGCTCATAATCTCTTCCCTCTCCAGCGGACGAGAAAACACAGTCTGCAATACACTCAGCATACGGACATGAGCGTGCTCTGTCGTAAACAGCTCTAACAGACACAGAGAGAAAAATATGTTCATCATTGCACCCTGCTTCATAGCAGATTACACAAAATAAGGCACTGAACGTACGAATAGTTTTTCAACATTCTTGCTTGTATTACCATTGATGACTTCTTGTCTTTTGATTTCCTTCTTGCTCAGTTTTTTCAGGTCCTCGGGAGAAGCAAGGCCCCTCCAGTTGGGCGGGTCCTGCTCGAGCTCCAGGAGACGGGGCTCCATTTCCTCCTGCTGAGGGAAGGGGCCAAAAGCAGGACCAGTGACGAGGCCGTCAGGCAACAATCCACCTTCCGCACTAAGAGACAAATGAAGGGAAAAAATTGAAAAGGGATACATACGTGTTCAGCATTGTAAAAAAAATTGTTAAGGTAGTGATGATTACAATCTCTGGATTCTATCAGTTACTGAGAAGCCCCTTCTGCTGCTGTCTCCTGTGGACAGTGTGTGTATGAGTGTTTCTAAGTGTGAGTGATGGTTAGTCTTTGCCTTACGAGACTGAATGCTGTGGGGAGGGTGAGAGGGGGTGAGAGGTAGAGGTTGACTGCAGGTCCACGTCGCTACGGGAGCGAGACTGCTTGGCCCGGGTAGAGCCACTACGGCGAGAGTGACGGCGCTCCACGCAAAGGCTCTCGCTGCGGCGCACATTCCTGAACACCCAAGAGAAG